AGCTCCTCCTCCTCTTCCCCATCCGCAGAATCCTCAGGTGTAGCTGATGAGATTACCCCCGCCTCGGAATCCACGGTCGGGGTAGGGTAGTGGTGGCGGCCCCCCCTAGAACTGCATGCAGCTCGGCGTAGAAGTGGCATGTCCGCGGCTTTGACCCGGAGCGACCGTTGCCTCCTTTGTTTTTTGATAGGCTTGTCTGAGCTCTTTGACTTCCATGCAGCACTGATCTGAATCCCTATTGTGGCCTCTCTCCATCATGCCCTTGGAGATTTTTTCAAAGTTTTGGCATTTCGTCTTTTCGAACGAAGTTCTGCTAGCACTGAATCCTCTCCCCATATAGCGATCAGATCCAGTACCTCCCGTACGGTCCATGCTGGTGATTTTTTTCGATTATTGGCCTGCATGGTTACCCGTGCTAATGAGCTCTCTGTGGTCACCTGTGCTCTTCACTCTGGGTTAACAGGAAATAAAATTCAAATGTTCGCGGGGCTTTTCCTCTCTACCTGGCCAGTGCATCCGAGTTCAGATTGCTGTCCAGAGCAGTCACAATGGTGCACTGTGGGATAGCTCCCGGAGGCCAATATCATCAAATTGCGGCCACACTAACCCTAATTCGAAATGACAATATCGATTTTGGCGCTACTCTGCTCGTCGGGGTGGAGTACAGAAATCGATTTTAAGAGCCCTTTATTTCGAAATAAATGGCTTCGTTGTGTGGACGGGTGCAGGGTTAATTCGATTTAATGCTGCTAAATCCGAATTAAAGTCATAGTGTAGACCAGGCCAGAGTGATAGACTCAAGGGGCTTAATCTATTTAGCTGAATCAAGAGAAGGTTAAGGGGGGACTTGATCACAGGTTATAAGTACCTACATGGGGAGCACAGATTTAACAAAGGGCTCTTCAAGCTAGCAGAGAAAGGTAGAACACGATCCAATGGCTGGAAGTTGAAGCTAGACAAATTCACACTGGAAATAAGATATACATTTTTAACAGTGAGGGGAATTAACCTTTAAAACAATTTACCAAGAGTTGTGGTGAATTCTGCATCCCTGACAATTTTTAAATCATGATTGGCTGTTTTACTACAATATCTGCTCCAGGAATTATTTTGGAGAATGTTCTCTGGCCTGTGCTATTCAGGAGGTCATGCAGGAGGTCATGCAGCCATAGGCCTTAAGGCCAGAATTGACCACCAGATCATCCAGTCTGACTTCCTCTATACCACAGGCCACCAGCACCACCCAGCACCCACACTCTAAACTCAATACCTAAAATTAGGCCAAAGTGTTACAGCCCTGAGGAGACTCAACTATTACATTGCACAGGCAGATAATAGGAAGGACCAAGGTACACCAGTGCCTGAGGCCCCCACAATGGCAGAGAAATGATTATGTGCGATATATCCAAATAATCCTGGCATGTGTCTCACTCAGAGGAAGGCAAAGGCCAAGGCAAAGGAAAAAACAAAAACCCAAGGTCACTGCCAATCTGACCTGGAGAAAAATTCCTTCCTGACCCTACATATGGCGATCAGTTAGACTCTGAGCATGTGAGCATGTGGGCAAGAAACAGCCAGTCAAGCACCTGAGAGACAGAATACCTCAACCCAGCTCACCTAGTGTCCCATCTCCAGCCATGCTTTAGGATGCTTCAAATGAAGGGGATAGCAAAACCCTCCCATAATACATTGGGGGGTGGGGGAATCCCTTCTTTACCCCTACAAGTGGATTGCTTTATGAGCTGGATGCACGCAAACAATATGTGTTTTAATATAGCCAGCTGTACATCTAGGAGCAAAAGAGGTTGTGGTATTAATAGTCTGTTGCAAACAGATGCCCTGTCTAACGAATTGTTCTGGGGTACAGCCAGTCTTTTCCCGTGAATCTTCCAGGCAGAGGGTGTTGTCTCCAGAGTACACCGGTCATCTCCACACAGCCCTGTCCTCTCCACCTTTTCTCCAGCTGCTGCCACTGCTGTTTGGATGGGGGATTCTGGGGCTGAGGCCTGGGGTCCCTGCTGTCCCCTGGTACCTCCCATTTGCCCAATAGACCATCTCTGGTTCTAACACAGGAACCTGCACATAATTTTTCTCCCTTTTCCTGTGGCAGTTACAGGGTTTCCCTCCCATCCCATGTAACCTGCACCCAGGACCAGCAAAGCTTTAAGCCTTTAGCAGTCTGAGTCAGGTCCCTTCTGATGTATAAGACCAGAGTCTACCTAGCCCCATCTAAAGTTTCGGCACTACAAGTGCCAAGGCCCATAGTGACAATAATGCACCTGGTGCCTCTAGTCCTTGGTGTTCCAAGGTTTTCCCCAGACAGTTTTACAATCTTCCCAGAGCCCCTTGCTAGCTTTTGGTGTTACATTCCCACCCCTGCCAGGACCTGGGGGGCCAGGTGAGCACCCATGTGCTGCTCTGCCGAGCTTGCTGTTTCAACCTCTGATCTGTTTGCAAAGCTATTGTCCCAGTGAGATGGCTTCACACCCTCTTCCTTGCTACTCAGATACGGCAGAACCCAGCATCTGACAGTCACTTCAGTTTATAGTTGGTCTCATGGAGGATAGGTCCATCAATGGCTATTAGCCAAGATGGACAGGGATGCAATCCCATGATCTGGGTGTCCCTAGCCTCTGACTGCCAGAAGCTGGGAGTGGACAACAGGGGACGGATCACTCAATGATTGCTTGTTCCGCTCATTCCCTCAGAAGCACCTGGCATTGGCTACTATGGAAAGACAGGACTGGGTTAGATGGACCATTGGTCTGATCCAGTGTGGCCAGTCTTAGGTTCACACAGAGTCTCTCCAGGGAGTATCTGAGCACCTGCCTAGAGCTGTGCCAGGATGGCTTCTTAAGAGTCACTCATTTTTCTATGCAGTGTGAACTTTACGTGCCTTTCGAGAGGAGGGTGAGATCTATCTGCAAGCCTCTTCCTATCATGGCTAATCCCAAGGCTTTGCCCTGTGCTTTCTGCGTATTTTACAGTGGTGCCTTTTTTTCTTTTTTTAAACAGCGAGATAACAATTGGGGAAAATTATCATGTTGTAAAATCCTAAGTGGAGACAAGCTGCTTATAGTGTTCACAAGGCAGCCAGGTGAGGTCAGAACTATGCCCCCCGCCCATGGTTGACTTTGCCTGATTTACCTCACAGTAACTCCACTGTGTGTGTACAGCAGGAGAGCTAATACACCTCAATTATCCCACGGTTAAAAACCCCCTTTTTGTCAGTGAAGACAGAGCCCCAGTGTCCTCCCCTTACGGGGCTTTGGGAGCTCCAGCGATGGGAGTGCAGGAGCTGGACCACGCACCTTTCCCGTGTTTGATACCAAACCGTCGGGATATCTTTGAGGCATCGCACCTGGATCGTCCTCTCCTCCCTCCATTTTCACTGGAGTTGTGGAGAAGGGACTGTGTTAACGTGAAATTGTGTGATAGGAGATGGTGTTATAACTGTTAAGTGAAACTCTGTGATGAGGTATGTTGTGACACCAAGAACATGGGCTACTGGGTGCCCAGAGATGTAGAAGCTGGGACTTGTGTAGGTGTGTGCCTCTCCACCTAGACACCTCTTTTTGAGCTTTTGGGGGCTGAACATGAAGGTTGTTGGGTGGCTCTGAAAGAGACAGGGAGCAGGTGTGCAGAGGGGGTAGACTGTGATTAGGAAGAGCATGGCTGGGCTGTTATTAGATCAGGCTTTCCCTCCTGCAGTGACATAGCAGGGTTACTGAACACTATTATGTATATTGTATTTATTGGGGTTAGTAGCTTTTCAAACCCAGGAGACCGAGGTGTAGTCAATCAGGTTTTGAAGAGATCTGCAAGGCCCTTGAAATAGCTAAAACAGCCAGGATCAGCTGCTGTTGACAGGGAAGTGTCCAGAGAGGAAGCATAGAGAGGTAGTGACCCAGAGAGCGGTGTTGAAGGTGTGTATCCAGGAAGGGGCAGGTCATGGCTGAAGCCCTGAAATTTCTCAGCAGAAGCCTGCAAATCTTCCCTGATGCCTTCAGAGCCATTTCTTCCATCAGAGCTTCTTCAGTCGGTGTTTGGAAAGTGATAAGTTGGCCGACAGCTCCCTTGCTAGTTAGGGGTCGATGACACAGTGGTAACAATGCCAAAGTCCTGTCTACACTACAGCTTCCACTGTTGCTTCTGCCAACAGGGCTATACTGATGAATTACAGGTCCTCATTTTCCAACTGTACACGAGGCCTGTGTGCTGTGCGCTCCTTAGCTCCTCTGGAGCTGCAGGGAAGCAGACATCCAGTCACAAAACACAGGACTCACCATCCCCAGTGGAAGTTGAAGTCTAAACTCTGGTTTTGCTTTGCTGGCTCATGGAGCCCAAAACTACAGGATATCACATCATCTACATGGGAACAGCAGGACGGCTGCTCCCAAGTAAGAGTAACACTCTCAGGCACTCAGTGTGGATGCAAAGATGCTGGGCCTGCATCAGTTCTGGCTACCCTGGTTCTTCCCCCTGCAACGTCTTGGGCTGGGTTCCTCCGAATGTTGCCTCCCCAACAAGGAAATGAAGCACTTGTGTGGGGATGGCAAGTGTTCTTCACTTACCACCGTAAACGCTGTAATAGTAAAACTGCCCCTGTGAATCGCTGGGCCACTTATTCCCAGGTGTACTGCTGGCTGGGCTGCAGCGAGAAAAGCAGAGCAGCACCGGGCTGCAGCTGGAGATGTAAGGGCTGTCCTTGGATCACACGTGTTACCAAGTGTCCTGACGCGCCCCTTAGCTTTTCCTAGGAGTGCTAGATGCCTGCCGCCACCACCACACAGGTCCCACTTTCCACCCCTTCTCCCTGTTCTCAGCCAGAAACTAAACCCATCCGGGGAGACTGATAAAACATCATTACAGTGAGCTGGGACTCGACAGGGCAAGGAGCCAGGGCGACAACAGTGAGAATGGCAATGGGCAGCTACACAAAGGCCAAATCAAGAGAGTGGGTTTAACTGAGTCAAAGGAACAGGGAAAGAGAGGTAATTAAGTGTGCAGAGCCGTCATTGATTGACAAGGAGTGCTCTTCAGTACATTACAATCAAATCAGCAGGAAATAAATAAAAAATACCAGCAATTCAGAAGGGCAACCAATGCGGTAGGGAAGATCAGAAGATTTAAAACTAAGGCCCCAATCTTGCATTGAGCTACGCATGGGGACCCCAGTAGCCAGGCAGCCCTCCAGAGGAATCTGCCCATGTGGAGCTCAGTGCAGGATTGGGGTCGTCTGATCAAAATCTCACACCAACAAAACTGAATCAGCGGTTGTGCTGATGGGCAGCTGAGCCAAGGAGCAACCATATGGTCTGGACAACGCAACACACTAAAGAGAGTTAACAGGACAGGAGCAGAAAACTGGGGGGCGATGACTAAATACAGAAGAGTACATGGAGAACGTAAATGCTTAGGCTGAGATAGGAGTCAGCTGGAAGAGCCAGTCGGGTGAGCGGGAGGCAATGCAGCAGTCTTGGGCCCCGGTTACACGCGGCTGCTGGGAAGAGATGATAGAGGGCTCTGAAGCGCTGGTGAGGCTGGGTGCCTCCGAGTAGGGCAGAGCATGGAAGAAGGTGGCTGTGCAGGGCCGTCGAGGCAGAACTGGTTGGCAGTGGGGCAGGAGGTAGCGCTGGCCCAATGCCTTCCCCTGGAGGTGCTGTTCCTGGTACCGCTGGGACTGAGGCCTGCCAGCCTCGCCGGGTCTGCCTTCACTACAGAGTTAACTTGAGTTATCTGCGCTCCAGTGACTCCTCTCGAGTGAGCCGAGCTCGGCTGAGAACAGCCACGCTGCTGTGCCCACACAGGCTCTGCGCTCCCTCGAGTACAGCACTATGGCTTCTGGGCACACGCGTTTCCCAGTGAGTAGTGGGAGAACTTGTCTGTCCTTTCTGGGCACGCTAGGGGACTCGTGGGAAGGCCCTGGAGAACTAGCGATATGCAAGTGACAAGCCTGGAGCCACACTACAGAGGGGCTGTGTTAGCAGCTGATGAGTTGTGCTCCAGTTTTAGCCTATGCCCCCTCCTTGGGCTGGCCAACTTGGGGTCACAGCACCACTGCACCCACTTAAAGGTACTGTATGTGGACGGGACTCGAGTGAGGGAGAACACTTGAGTTACAAGAAGTTAATTTGCAGCGAAGACAAGCCCCTAGAGTGGCCCTCTCCTCACTAGTTCAAGCAGGAAGGAGCAAGTCACTGCTGGGGCGGTTACGGAATCGGGACACCTCAGAGGACTACGGTGAAGCCCCAATTCACGCCCCCTGGTGTCCGTGAGGGGGATGGTTCTGTTAGTGGGCATGGGGCTAGCTTCTCTCAGGCCCTGCTTCACGCTATTATATACACACGACCGGAGCGGAGCCCTCTGTTGGGAGGGTCTCACTTGTCCATGGCTGCGGCTCTGGCATGGATTCTCAGGTGACGGGCCAAAGAGGATTTGTTACTGAAGCTCTTCCCGCACTCGGCGCAGGGGAAGGGCCGTTCCCCGGTGTGGGAGCGCTCGTGAATGGCGAGGTAAGCCAGGTACTTGAAGCTCTTCCCGCACTCGGCGCAGGGGTAGGGCTTCTCCTGTGTGTGAGTCCTCTGGTGCATCGTCAGGTTGGAGAGCTGGCTGAAGCGCTTCCCGCACTCGGCACAGGGGTAGGGCCGCTCGCCCGTGTGGGAGCGCTGGTGCTTGTTGAGGTCCGAGGGGTTGGTGAAAGTTTTCCCGCACTCGTCACAGGAGTAGGGTCTCTCCCCTGTGTGCAGCCTCTGGTGTGTAATGAGCGTGGAGAGGTGGCCGAAGTTCTTCCCACATTCGGCACAGAAATAGGGTTTCTCTCCCGTGTGGGTTCTCTGGTGGGTTTTGAGATGGGTCAGTCTGTTGAAACTCTTCCCACATTCAGGACAGGGATATGGTCTGTCCTTCTCATGAACTCTCCCGTGGGCCGTGAGCGCCTGCTTCTCCCAGAACCTTTCCCCACAATCTCGACATTTATGGGGCTTCTCTGTCCTGTGAATGCTGTTCTGATGGTGAAGGTCCCCTGTGGCCCGAGATCTCCCCAGTGCAGGAGGTTGGATTAGTCTCCTGAATCCACTCTCACGTTCCCCTAGGGGATCTGGCTCATTCCCCGCTGGGCTCCTCTTCTGCCTCTTGCAGGCTCCTTTCTGCTCAGGTCTGTGGTTAATGCTCTCTCCTGAATCCCGCTGAGAGATGCTGGGGGGCTGCAGGTTTTCAGGCCCTTCGTCATGAGGCTGCTCCTTAGTCCTGCTCAGGATCCTGGCATCTGCTGGATAAAAGAGAGAATCCAGAGATTATTTCATCTCTCGTATTTCCAAGTGGAAGTGGCTGAGGCTCCTCACATCCTTCCACTGGACAGACCCCCAAGAAGAGCCAAACAGTCAGCCATGCAGAAATAGGGGGCTGTGGAAGGGCACAAGCAGGAAGCCCCACATCTCTTTCTCCTTCCTCTTTACCCAGGGCCCACGATAGCTTTTCCTCAACTCCCAACATTTCCCTTTCCCTCTGCTCCAGCCCCTCAATTCCCCTCCAAGCTCCCCCTCTCTCTTCCCTCTTCTCCTGACCATAGACCAGGGGTGGGCAAACTATGGCCCATGGGCCAGATCCGGCCCGTCAGGGGTTTGGATCCGGCCCACGGGACTGCTACCCCCGTGGCACTGCGGGCCCCTGGCCACTCCCGGAAGCACCCGACACCATGTCCCTGTGGCCCCGGGGTGGGGGGACAGAGGGCTCCGTGCGCTGCCCTCGCCTGCAGGCACTGCTCCCTGCAGCTCCCATTGGCTGGGAACGGGGAACCACGGCCAATGGGAGCTTCGGGGGAGGTACCCGCAGGTGAGGGCAGCGCACGGAGTCCTCTGCCTCCCCTTCCCCAGGGGCCGCAGGGACGTGGTGCTGGCCGCTTCTGGGAGCGGCACGGGGCCAGGGCAGCCAGGGAGCCGGCCTTAGCCCTGCTGGGTGCCACTGCCACCCCAGAGCTGCTGCAGGTAAGCGGCGCCAGGCCAGAGCCCACACCCTGAACCCCATCTGCACCCAAACCCCCTGCCCTGAGCCCCCTGCTGCACCCCACACCCCTCCTGCACCCCAACCCCCTGCCCTGAGCCGCCTTCCACACCCCTCCTGCTCCCCAACCCCCTGCCCTGAGCCCCCTCCTGCACCCCGCACTCCTCCTGTGCCCCAACCCCCTGGCCTGAGCCCCTTCCTGCACACCGCACCCCCTCCCACACCCCACACTCCCTCCCGTACACCAACCCCCTGCCCTGAGCCCCCTCCCACACTCCTCCTGCACCCCAACCCCCTGTCCTGAGCCTCCTCCTGCCCTGAGCACCCTCCTGAATCTCACACCCCTCCTGCTCCCCAACCCCCC